AAGTAAAGAAATTTGTATAATTGGTATGATTTTTTATTTATAAAATTATTTTGTATATTTGTTGAAAATTTATATGTTTGTAGTAATAGGTTTAATTTTGTGATTATTTTGGTGTGTTGTGTGTAAATCGTTAACATAATCAATATTAGAGCAATTATAAATAATATAATTACTTTTAAAAGGGAGTTTTGATAAATGAAAACAATATATATTTTGTTATTAGAGAGAAAAATATAAATATATATTTTGTAAAAAAAAATGTCATTTGTCTCGTATCTATCTATTCAAAAAATATCTATAAAAAGGAATTGTTATTCTTAAAAAAATGTGTAACAATCATTTAAAAAATGTAAATTTTCTTTTATTATCAATTTCTGAAAAAAAAAAAGATTTTTTTGAAGGAAAAAAATAACGAAAAAAAGGATATTTTCGTTGGGTAAGAATTTGTATTTTGATAAACATGAGAGTTTTTTTGGTAGTTGTTCTCATTGTATTTAGGTTACAATCATATGTGTAAGGGAATACATATATTCTTAGTGAGATTTAATTTAAGCGTTTGGGTTGCACCTTATCGTACAGAAAAATAAGTCCCGCTGCTATAGGCACTCTTTTTTGTTATTATTATTATTATTTTTTAATTTTTTTCCCTTTAAAATAGGCAGATTTGTTAGATTTATTGCCTTAATCAAAATCCTTTCCCATACCAAGAACTTACTTGCTATCCATTGAAGGGATGTAGGCTTCAACCTAAAATTTTCCTTTTACAAGATTATGTATTTTAACGCCAAGGGATGATATAATATAACATAAATTTATACACAAAAACTTATGTTATGACGATATTTACGTCACATGGCATTTTTTTTTTTGAAAGGCACATGGCATTTTTTTTTTAAAGGAGCATTGAAGGAAAAGTTTATTAGTCAAAGTGTAGTAATTAAAATGAAATGATTTTTCATGTTAGAGGTGTTAAATGGTCGTCAAAAAGTGAGAAAAAAAAAGGAAGTTCACGTAGATATTGCATTGTAATGTTAACAAAAAGCAAAATGAAAAAATTAACTCGCATTTTAAATGCATTATTTTAAGATTTTTACTTTTTAATTTTAATTGATATTTTTTTGATTAATATAATTATTTAACTAAATAGTATTAATTAAGTGTGATGAGTAAATTTTTAAGACCCGTACATTTTAAAAAATATTTATCTATTTTTTTTTTAATAAAAATTTATTTATTCATTTGATTAAATTTTCAACTCGAACTCAAAAAAGTGAGACTACTCAAATTTGTTTTCATTCGTAAACACGAACGATGGATATCATTTCACTTGCACCGGAGGTTTTTTTTTTTTTTTTTTTTTTTTTTTTTTTTTTTTTACCAGAGGATGGTTTTTTTTTCTCTTGCCCCGGGGTTTTTTTTTTTTTTTTTTTTTTTTTTTTTTTTTTTTTTTTCTTAATAGAAAAAAAAGGAACAACTCAAACAAAAATTTCTAATCATTTCACACATCTAAATTCAAAAGTATCTTTAAGTTTTACTTAAATATAACTTTTACCTTTAGGCTTTTAAAATTTTAAAAGTATGCTATGCCCTATATTTTCAAACAAGACAAAAAGTATCTTTTTTCAAGAAGAAAGTGATATATTAAAAAAAAATGTAAATTTTTTTTTATCATCCTTAATAGTATTGGGAAATTCTAGCAAGTTGGTTTATTTATGCACTCCATTGAACGATTCTTTTTTAAAGATTTCAAAATATAGTGTAGATCGTAAACCAACTTGTTAGAATTGCCTAGCACTAGTAACGTGATGAAAAAAATTTACATTTTTTATTAGTTTTTTAAGATTTCACTTGCTTTTTAAAATGAAAAAAAAAAAAAAAAGAAATCTTTTTTTCAAAAAAAATTTCACTTTTTTTTTAAAAAAAAAAAAAAAAAAAAAAAAAAAAAAAAAAAAAAAAAACAGATTGGTGCTATAAAATTTCTACACATTATTGAATACCTAAATCTAAGAAGGTCTTGATTTTTACCTATTATTCTTGATTAATAGACTTTTTAATTAAATAATTATATTAATAAAATGGTACTAATTAATAGTGATGGATAAAAATTCAGATTCATATACTTTTAAGATAAGTTCAACAATTTTCTTTTTAAGTGTTTGGGCAGTATATAGAAAATCTAAGAATAATTTGACCATTTAAAAAAATTAAACTAGAAAATTAAAAAACAAAAAGGGTATTTTTTGGATTTAAACATATAAAAGATAAAAATTATATTTTGGTAAAATTGAGGGATACCTTTTGAAATATCGCTATATGTATTATAGCATGACCACTGGCCAAAAAAAAAAAAAAAAAAAAAAAAAAAAAAAAAAAAAAAAAAAAAAAAAAAACTATAGCATGACATAATCTAGGATGGTAAGAATCACATGGTAATATATAATTGAAACTTAGAAGAGATTATGAAGAAAGACTATCATAGCTTATAATGAGATTTTTTCTGATAAGTTTTGTAAAAATATACTATAATAGTATTTTATTTTTCAACTATAAAATTTATATCAAAATTTACCAATTTTATATGCTTTTTAATTTAATGTAATTTTAATTAAATTTAACAGTTAAAAATTAAGACTATTTATAGAGTGAATTATCAAAAAAACTCCTCAAAAAATACAAAAAGAGAAGAAGGAAAGCGACGAAGACTGATTAAGACCACAAAGGTGGCGCTAGAGGTGGGTCCATTTTACAAAGAGGATCACAAAGAGAAGATAAAGAGTCAACTCACAGATGTGAAAATAGTATACCTTTCAATTTCAACTTTTTTCTTAGCCCATAATATATATATTTTTTCATGGAGAATGTTATTTTCCTCTAACGGTTAGTTTTTAATTGTTGAATTCATTTTTTAATTATTAAATTTAAGCATATTTTTATTTAATATTAAGAAGAAGAGACAAATATTTTTTAAAGTGTATGAATATAGATTTTTACCTTTTATTTTTAATTAAATTTTTTTTAATTGAATAACTATATTAGTCAAAAATATACTAATAAAAAATAAAGAATAAAAATTTAAACTCATACACTTTAAAAAGTAAATTTAATAATTTTTTTAAAATTTACAATGTGTAACAGAAAATTATCCCACTGCAGATTAAACTAATTAAAAAATTTATTTTAACAATTAAAACACCTGGCCTCCTGATAAAGTAATATAACCTCATGCACCATAAAAGCACCCAAAAAGGGGGTCTGCGAGTGTAACAAAATTACTACAGTGACCTTTCCTCTATTGTCCCTTCAATCCTTTAATTTTCAAATAATCCTACTTTTTTTTATGTAAATTTGTGTAGATTACTCTTTACAAAATCTGGGCGAAGGAAAAATAAAATGCAAAAGTGAATTTTCAGAATAATGCGGTACCTCTATATTTTGTACTCGTGAATTGTTAGTTTTTTTTTTTTTTATCAAATAATATAAATTTTGTATTCTTTTTTAATTTTGACATGATTTTACTATAATGAATATGACTTGGCATTCGAAACGGCGTTGTAGCACTAAAGTAGCTTTCCAGGGGAAAAAAAAACAAAAAAGGCTGGCCCATACTCCATATAAGTACAACAATGTTGGAATCTTTAGCTCAAATGGTCCAACGGGGCCCAAGATCTTTGGTTAGATTTTGTTCTTTTCTTTGCATTCAAGCGAGGAACAAATTTTAAAAAAAAAAAAAAAATTGTCTGTAAACACCACATATTTCCAACAGAAATATCTCATAATGTGTGTTTGAGATTATTTTTGAAACTCTTAAAAACACTTTGCACAAACGATGCAATTATAATATTTGATAAAAATGCACAAAAACACTTTACACATAAATTAATGCACTTTTTAAATTATTTTAAGAAGTTTGAATGTATAGCTTTTAGATTATACTTTTACTTCTGATTTTGTTTTAAATAAAAATAGTGCTTCTTTAAAAACACATTAATTATTTTAAAAACAGAGTAACCCCAAACTGGCCCATAGACTCTTCTATCATAATGATTTTTGAATTAGCCAATAATTGTGTAAAACTACTACATACTCTATAAAATTATGGTTACAAAATTAGTCTGTTAGTTTTATCGTTGGAAATCAGCAGCATAGGTAATTGATCATCATTGTTTTGTTTTAGTGGATAGTCAGAAATTGTCTTATCACATGAGTTCCAAATTTTGCACGTAATGATAATTATTCAAAATTCAGTAATAACGAGCATTATGATGGTATTAACTTAAGACTCGACAAAAGGGCCATTGATTGTGTTAAAAACAAAATAAAAATAAAAATAAAAATAAAAATAAAAGATAAAAAGAAGACGATGATACAATTTTTTTCTTCGTTATTGAAAATAAGGGATTATTTATGTCATCTCACCCTATCCTTATCATATATAGTGGAAATTTTATGGTCCATCAATGAAACAAAAAAAAAAAAATTGATCTAATTTTACTCAAAAGATGAACTTAATTATAAGTAAATGAATACAGATTTAACACTGTAGTTGCATAATTCATCAATTGGACAAGACTTTTTATATTGACACTATAAAAATTCGAATACGAGTACATCTTTACAGAGAGTAAATATATATATATATATATATATATCCTTTATCATTGCACTAATCTCTTGATGGTTGGTGGTACACAAATTTGCCCAATTAAATGTGAATTTTCACAATGGTAGTCTTTAAATAAGAAAAGAAAGTAAAAAAAAAAAAAAATGGCACAAAAGATATGATATAAGTCAGCAGTTTTAGCATAAAAGTCAGCAAGCGTTGTAGACACTAGACATAGAAAAAGAAGAACTTTATGCACGTTTAAATAATGAACTTTGAGTTTGAGGATTATGGTGAAAAAAGATTGTGACCTGTGGGGCCACCCCCACCAACACCTTTTACCACTCAAATGGTTCCAACTTCCATTGTCCCATTCCTTCTTCTCTAAAGTAATGGAACACCCTCAAATCTCTTTGTAGCCATTGGTGTCGTTTTCTCTGCTTCTTCCACCCACTTTATTGGCACGAAAATTGGGTGACATTTATCTGAGAATTCTCTGCCCCATATGCGCTTCCCATTTTGGAAAATCTCAGGTGGGACTAATTAATGAAAGCTGACTTTCTTCAGCTCATTGTTTGGTTTATATACATTTAATGCTTGCTTTTGAAATTTTCCTTCACAACATTGTTTTGAGTTTTTCTGTTGTTTTCGAGTCCAAGTTATGGATGCCAATTCTACCTTGTAAAAGTATGTATTTTTTAGCTCACAACTTCTTGAGGTTTCTATAAATTTTGCAACTTTTCACAACTTCTCGAGGTTTCTATTATAGTTTGCCACTATTGACAAATTCTTGAGGTTTCTATTAAAGTATGCAACTTTTCACCAATATTCCAGTCACATCATTTTCCGGTGCTTAACTGTCTTCATACTCTGTAGAAAGTTTTCCCCTCAAAATAACCACTTTTGCCAACACGTTGCCTTTTGCTGTGGTGGCGGCTCCACTGTTTTTTTTTTTTTTTGAAAGGAGAATATGTTAGGTTCTTGTCCTGTTATGAAGTCTTTTCTGGCTTATTTTGGTCCGCTTTTCATGATTGGATCTGGGTCTTCATAGCATCTTGATTTGCTGAAATCCTGTTTGTTTTCTTTTATATGGAGTTTTGATATTGGGGTTTTCTTGGGTCTATATATTCTGTTACCATAGGTCTTCATTTTATGGTACCCACCTTAATACATGTCTTATTTTCAGGTGCTTCACAGACATAATACATCTTCCAGTTTCTATTCTTGTCTGGAAATCTTGCTTTGTTTTCTCTTTGGAGGAGGCTGAAAAGTAGACGGTTTTTGTTTTTGTTTTGTTTTGTTTTTTTTTTTTCTTTTTCTTTTAGCTAGGCAATTCAATACATCATGAATAATATAGTTTGGTATCTGGTGCTGATGGTTCTCCACAATTGCTTGGCCTCAACTGGGGTTGGCACTAATGTTTCAAGCTCCGTGAGACCAAGCATAGTAAATATTGGGGCTATTTTCTCTTTAAATTCTCTTATTGGTAGAGTTGCCAAAGTGGCAATAGAAGCTGCAATTGAGGATGTGAATTCCGATCCGTCTGTTCTTCGGGGAACTAAACTGAAAATCACAATGCAGGATTCCAATTATAGCGGATTTCTTGGCATCATTGAGGGTATGTCTTGTTTCCTTTTTCATTTTTCATCACTCATAGATGTTTGAAACTAAAAACCAATGTTTTCGGTTGCACAGCACTTCTGTTTTGTCTAGTTGAATTTGGACCCTTACTTGTTATGTCATGTGTGTGAAATCACTTAGGGATGATTGAGAACTTTAATTTTAATCCTATGCCTCGTCGCCTATTACAGCCTTGCGGTTCATGGAGAAGGACACTGTGGCCATAATTGGCCCCCAAAATGCTGCAACAGCTCATGTAATAGCTCACATTGCAAATGAACTCCAAACTCCTATGTTGTCGTTCTCAGTCGCGGACCCCACTCTTACTCCTCTCCAGTTCCCGTTCTTTGTGAGAACCACGCAGAGTGATGAGTTTCAGATGGCTGCCATTGCGGAAATGGTTGATTATTATGGATGGAGGGAGGTAATTGCAATATATGTTGATGATGACCATGGGAGAAATGGGATAATGGCGTTAGGGGACAAGCTTGTGGAGAAACGCTGTAAGATCTCCTACAAAGCTCCTTTGGTCTCTGATGCAAGCAGGGATAACATCACAGATTTGCTGGTCAAGGTGGCTTTAAGCGAGTCTCGCATTATTGTGGTTCATGTTTATGTTGGCTGGGAACAGGTTTTCGACGTAGCTGAGCGTCTAGGCATGATGGGAACTGGATATGTCTGGATTGCTTCTAATTGGCTCTCCAATACATTAGACATCAATTCTCCTCTCCCTGCAGATTTCATGGCTAATATGGAAGGAGTCCTCACTTTGCGTACATACACACCAGATTCGAAACAGAAACGAAAATTTGTTTCCAGGTGGAGTAACTTGACCAAGGGAACGCCAGCTACGGGACCTCTTGGATTGAATACTTATTCTCTCTTTGCCTATGACACTGTCTGGTTGCTTGCTCATGCAATTGATGCATTTTTCAATCAAGGAGGAAAGATAACATATTCAAATGATTCGAGGTTGATGGTGCAGCGCAGCAATTTAAATCTTGATGCTATGAGTATCTTTGATGAAGGAAACTTGTTACTCCAGAACATCTTAAAGACAAACATGACAGGCCTGACTGGCCCGTTTGGATTCACCCCAGAAAGGAACCTCATTCGTCCCGCATATGAAATCATCAATGTGGTTGGAACCGGGATGAGAAGAATTGGTTATTGGTGTAACTATTCTGGGCTATCAGTTTTTCCTCCAGAGACGCTTTACAATAAGCCGGCAAATCGTTCCAGCTCAAACCAAAAACTATATGATGCAGTTTGGCCTGGACAAACAACGAAGAAGCCTCGTGGGTGGGTTTTTCCAAACAATGGGAGGCATTTGATAATCGGAGTTCCTAATAGAGTGAGCTATCGAGAATTTGTCTCTCTTGTAGAAGGCACCGATCAGTTCACTGGCTACTGCATTGATGTCTTTACTTCTGCACTGAACATGTTGCCTTATGCTGTCCCCTATAAGTTAATGCCTTTTGGGGACGGTCTTAAAAACCCGAGTTGCACAGATCTTGTGCATTTGATCACTACAGGAGTGAGTATTACGTGTGTATGTTGTGCAGTTATTTTTTACTAGTTAAGTAAGACGAACGAACGCGTTCATACTTAAGATTAAATACTTTGTTTTAGGTTTTTGATGCAGCAATAGGAGACATTGCGATCATCACCAATCGAACAAGAATGGCTGATTTCACCCAGCCATATATTGAATCTGGATTAGTAGTAGTAGCACCTGTAAGAAAAAGGAATTCTAGTGCCTGGGCTTTTTTCAAGCCATTCACTCGAGAGATGTGGATTACCACAGCTTTATTCTTTCTTGTTATCGGGGCCGTCGTTTGGATTTTGGAGCACAGGCTGAATGATGATTTCCGGGGTCCTCCCAGAAAACAAGTTGTCACTATTCTTTGGTAAGATATTCCATGTCTTACTTCATGGCGCAGCTTCATACTTCTCTGGATGGTGCACTGTCAACAAGGTCTTCATAAAAAAAAAAAAAAAAAAAAAACGGTTCTTTGAAGTTGTTTCCATCAGTTCTTTCAGCAAATGCTAATACCAAGCAGATGATTAATTATTGTTCTACTGATTCTGCAGGTTCAGCTTTTCAACTATGTTCTTTTCTCATAGTAAGGAGACAGTAACTTTGAATCTTTCATTTACGAAAGAAAACAAAAATACAAGCTTATCTAAGTTGCACAATTTTGGTATTTGCAGGGGAAAATACAGTCAGCACTCTTGGACGCCTAGTACTAATCATATGGCTGTTTGTTGTTCTTATAATCAACTCAAGCTACACGGCGAGTTTGACCTCAATCCTCACGGTGCAACAGCTCACTTCCCCCATTAAAGGTATTGAATCCTTAATTGAAACCAGTGACCCCATTGGCTACCAACAAGGTTCCTTCGCGAGGAACTATCTGATAGATGAAATCGGCATTCAAGAATCCAGACTCGTCCCTCTCAACTCTGCGGAGGATCATGCTAAAGCCTTGCGTGATGGTCCCCACGGCGGTGGTGTTGCTGCTGTTGTGGACGAGCGCGCTTACATAGAGCTATTCCTCTCAGCACACTGCGAATTCAGTATTATTGGCCAAGAATTCACCAAGGCTGGATGGGGATTTGTAAGTATATAATGAGCATATAACATATCTATCACTATATATTAGCGCATTACTTGTTCAAAGGTAGTTGAAACTTGACATTGTGTGTTTCTTCCTTTCCAACTTAGGCCTTTCCGCGGGACTCGCCCTTGGCGGTTGACATGTCAACGGCCATTTTGAAGCTGTCGGAGAATGGGGATCTCCAGAGGATCCATGACAAATGGCTCATGAGGAGTGCCTGCATTTCGCAAGGCACGAAGCTTGAAGTGGACCGTCTTCAACTCAAGAGTTTCTGGGGTCTCTTTGTGGTATGCGGGCTGGCTTGCTTGCTTGCTCTCTTTATATATTTCATCCAGATGGTGCGCCAGTTTAGTAGGCTCCATAAAGAGGAAGCGCAGCCCTCTGGTAGAAGCCTGCACTCCGGTCGTCTTCAAACGTTTCTTTCGTTTGCTGACGAGAAGGAAGATGAAGTGAAAAGCCGCTCTAAGACAAGGCAATCCGAAAGCGCCTCAAATAGAAGCACAGGCCAAGATGAATCAATGAACGGTTCCAAAGAATCATATGCTGAATCATCTTCAAGTAGAAGCCATGCAAATTGTAATAATGCCTGATTAGAACCATCTTATAATGCCTAACCACATATTTTCTTTGTCTCTCAAATTCTGCTTTTATCATTGGAGTATTTGTAATTACTAATTAGCAATTTAGCAGCTAGTTCTCTAAAAGCGTGTAGATGCAAAAAAAAAAAAAAAAAAAAAAAACACTCGCAAGGCTCATCATGGAATACAATGATCTGTTCAGTAATTGTACATTAAAGGCCACTTTCTATAGTTGCTTATAGTGCCACCATTATGAGTCATGAACTTCATGTTGCCCTTTTGTTTCTTTGTTAACATCTCTTTGATTGCTCCATTTCTCCACTCACAATTTTCAGGAGTCTTCTTATAAAAGATGATGACGTAGGGCAGTTGAAAGGAAAGAGAAATAGAAGAGAGAAAGGTTGGAAAATTTCTATTATGATAAAAGATATCCTCTTTGTTTTAATGACAATCTTTAGACCAATTTTTATTCAACTATTTGTCAAAAGAAAAGCTACTGAAATGTTTGGTAAATTTATCCAAACTGTTGACGGGATTTGGAAATGAGGCTTAAAACTACTTTTTATATTTATGCCCGACATATTTGCATAAAATATAGTGCAGATATAGGGGTAAATGTGTTGCGGTTTGAGTGGTTATCCTCAAAATATTTTCACTAAATAATGACCATGGTTGAAGAGATTTTTCTCTTTGAACCACAGTCGAAAAAAATAAATGCATAACCATACAAACATTATGTGGTACGTTTGGGTCATTTACTTTTGGTGCGTTGACACCTCTAATTCTATTTTTCACACAAACATTCTTAAACCACTCTTCATACTTATTATCTCCTCTTAAAATTTTAAAAAGAATCCCTACAATTAAATTACCCCATTATACTTTTTCTCACACACATTCTTAAACCATCATATTTTACTTTATACTCCCCTCTAAAAATTTTAAAAAGTCCATACAATTAAATTGTATTAGTTTTTTTTTTTTTTTTTTTTTTTTTTTTTTTTTTTTTTTTTTTTCTCGTTCACCCACCAACCAAACTTGTTTTTGTTTTCTTTTTATTTCGATACTTATTGTTTAGGATCCTCAAAGTTAGATGTTTTGTTTGGTTAACAAAAAGTACTAATAATAAATAATAAACATATATATTATCAAGAAAACTTTTAAGACTTGACATGGAGGGTGCGCCAAGCCCATGCTATAGTGCAAAGCAAGAGCGACGCTGGAGACCGTGGTAGCAAGCTACCACTGGAGGACTTCCCCTTAAAAAACTAATTTAATATCATGCGGATTCATTGATCCGCGTATCAGATATTAAACTGATAAGAACAGATACTACACTTGATCTTAGCCAAAAGGCCGAGAAAGGTATGCCTTATCATGTGTTTTAGGCTCTCTTTTATAGGTTGTTGTTTTTGATATTTTACTCTCTAGTCAATGTGGGACAACATTAGTTTCAATTGCAAATTTTACTCTTATAGCTTGAAACATTTGCTAGTCTGCAATTTGTTTCTTTTTCATTCCACCACAATTATGGCAAATGAATTAATGCAGCTATCATCCAATTTGAGACCAAAGGTAACATGAGATTACGAATTTCCAGTATACATCAGCTTAAAAAAAATATACAGAATAAATTATTTTTGATACAGATCTGACGGTTAAAAATAGAGAATTACTAATAGTTTTTTTTTTTTTTTTTTCCTAATCTTATAAAATAAACTCCATTAAAAAAAATGAAAACACTAACCTATAACCATTTGAAGGGCAGAGATAGGCACTTGGACGTACCAAACAAAACTGGGGGTCGTGCTCTTGAAAGATTAACATGCCACGCAAAAAAATAAAAAAAGGGAACCAACTCTTGCAAGAGGTGTATCATTCCTTGTTGGCATTCAAACAAACACGTTCTAAAATTACAAAATATGCAAGGCAAAGTTAGATCGTCTACTCTTTTACTTAAACTACTAATTTAAATTGATAAAACATAAACTTTTTAATCCATTGTTACTATTAGGGTACGTCTAATAACATTCCTCGTTCTATTATTCCTACACTTCATTTTAATGAATTATTTCTTACTGAATTACCATTAATGAAAATTACTTTTGAGTACAAAAGTATATATAAAAGAAAAATACTCTTCGCATATCCCACCTTAAAATCAAGTTTTTTTTTTTTTTTTTTTTTTCCTGAGGACTTTTATTGGTGTATTAGAATGCAGCAAATCAAAATAAGCCTAAATCCTTATTTGGCCTCAGTATTGTAGGTACTTTTCTCCCGACCGATTGAAGTTTTCCATCGATTGTCGAGATTTATGTCAAAGAGCCAGTTAAGTTCTCAATATTTGGTTCGCCTATGTATTTTTCTATTGAACTAGGCATATGTTTTGTTATCTTTTGTACGTCATTAGATTATATTAGTGGAATCGGTCATTTGTTGGGGTTAAATATTTCATTATTAGTGTGTGTATTTCTTTAATTTCGAATACAACTTATCTATTTCAGGAAAAAGGAAAAGACTAAATGCTTGATCTGCATTTTTTTTAAAATGATTCACAAACTGATAGTGTGCTTCTATGTGCATCAGTAAGTAATATTAAATTTCATTGGCAGTGTTCATATTTGTACAAGAAATATAAGGAGAAAGAAAAGGGGGTTGCAGTTGGTTGAAACCACGATTTTATGTGTTTTGTGAATTTTCTATATATGTTTATATATAAAACAAAAATTGAAAGAAAAAAAGATATAATGTTTAGAACAAGAAAAGAAAAAATCATCCTCTAAAAAAAATCACAATCACAAAAACGTCATTAACACCACTCTCTGCAAGACAAAGTTGGGGTCTGTTTAGTTCGCTAATTCGAGTTTTTAATTCGAATTGAGATGTGACTTTATGTGAGAGTTTTTTACTGTAACAAAAAAAAAAAATGTGACTGTCTCTGAGAGTTTTTTACTGTAGTAAAACTCGAATTCTAAACTCGAATCGGTGAAATGAACGGAACCTTAAGGTTTTCGTTATTTAGAATGAAAAGATAATAGAAAGGTTTTCATTGTAAAAAAAATTATTCAAAATGGAAAAATATGCTAAGGGGTTAGTGGGTGGAATTAAGAAAAACAAACAATTTAATTTTAAGGATTTTTTTTTTATTGGAACATGAGGAGAATGATCAAAGCACTAATTTAAAACGAAAATTGAATTATTGGGTGGTTTTAGAAAGGAGTAGGGAGGGTAGATTAAGGCGTGAAAATACATGCACCCTTTCAATATTAAAATATTAAATGATACAATGACCAAAAAAATAAACAAATGCAATCACAAAAAATTCTTTCACAATAATAATAATCACTAATAATACACATTATGAAAAAAGATTTAACACTTATATGGAGGGTGTGGCAAGCCCAAGCTATAATGGGCAAAAGTTAAATAGAAAAATAATATTTTTTTATACTTTTAAGCTTTATAGGTTGAATTAAACTATATTACAAGTTTAGAAAAATGAATAAGGTCAAAAAAAAAAAAAAAACATTTGTTCAAAATTCTGCTTTCTTAGTTTACAATATAAATCCAAGTCAAACCTAACTTAAACTATACAAGTGAAACGTGAACGGGATCTAAACTATGCAAGTGAAATGTAATTATGTACTTGTCATTAGATCATATATGAAGTTCTAACACAACAAGTTGAAGTTTATAATATTAAACAAAATCACCTTCTACTTTGTAGTGTAAGTCAAACCTAACTTAAGCTATACAAGTAAAACGTGGACGGATCTAAACTATGCAAGTGAAATGCAATTATGTCAATGTCATTAGATCATATATGAAGTTCTAACACGACAAGTTTGAAATTTATAATACTCAAAATATTGACTAGTCCTCACAAGTATTCGATAGCAAAAAATTTAATTTAGCAAAAAAAAAAAAAAAAATAGAAAATTTAATTTCTTTATGGACCACGCCTAAAAAAAAATAATTTGATATATGAATCATCAACATATACTATAGTTCATCTTAACCAAAGGCTTTATAGGGTTCTCTTATAGATACTTCACAACTCTAGTCCATGTGGGACACTAGTAGTTTCAAGCATAACTTCCAGTCTTGGTTTGCAATTTTTCTTTTTCTTCCCACCCATTATGGCCAATAAATTAATGCAATAGTCATCTAAGATAAATAAAATTCTCAGTTAGAAGGTAAAGGTCACAATTACTGTTATTTTGACCATATTTTATCAACATGATAAAAAAAAAAAAAACAAACAAACTGATGCAAGTGACATTTCAAACGAGTAAGCTCAACAATTAGAAGAGTAAAAGGTTGTTTGGTTGGGGGATTCATTCCCTGATTCGAATCATAGTTCGTTGTTTGCTACAGTATTTTTTCTCATAAAAAATACACATAAATTGAAAATAGTTCTAATCACATGGTTCTAATTCATGAACCAAACGTCTCTTAAGTTTATGTAGGAAGTTGATTGTGACTTTCTTGACCTTTTTCGTGTGATTGCAGGCCGTAAATGTTGACTTAAAGCAGCAAGAAAATATCATTTTGATGATCTTTCTTGGGTTCTTCTTTAACACAAGATTTTCATCGTCTCGCTTATTAGATTATCCTTTGTGATAAATTGTAGCTATATGGAGCGTACACGAGAGCTTCAACTACAAACCAGAGGTTAGAGATTTACTCAAATTTTTAGTATTATATGTCTAATTTTAACTGATACAATAATTGCAAAACTTATTTCCTAGAGAAAGAGGGGTATTTCCAATTTCCTTAAACAAGAAATGTAAAGCACTCAGATTGGAAAAAGCAAAGTATAGCATAAGTGAGAGTTTTAGAACTAATTCTGATCATGTTTCTTTTAGAACTTTTTTTAGGCTCTGTTCATTACACCGATTCGAGTTTAGAATCCGAGTTTTACTATAGTAAAAAGCTCTCAGAAACAGTCACATTTAACTTTTTTACTACAGTAAAAAAACTCACATAAAGTCACATCATAACTTAAATCAGCGATTAAACGAGCCCTTAGTTATGCTTTATGAGTAAGAATATATGAATTCTACTTCAAACATGTCGTTTTTACTCTACTTAGTACTTGATCAGATCGGAAAAAGGAAACTAACCTCTCAATTTACTTGTGGCACTTCACCAGTTGATAACCAGGGACTGGACGCAGATACATACACCTCTGATCCCTCAGTTGCTAGCCGAATTTCCCTTCCCAAGCTCATTCACTACAAGTGGTGGCTCCGCGTTTCGATCTACATCCTCTTTCTTCTCTCCGGCCAATCTGCAGCCACTCTTTTGGGGAGATTGTACTATGACAAAGGCGGGAACAGCAAGTGGATGGCAACACTGGTCCAATCGGCCGGCTTTCCGGTTCTGCTTCCCCTTTTATTCTTCTTCTCATCACCAGCCAAATTAACCACAACATGTTCCTCTTCTTCAACACAACCAAAAGTCTCTTCTTTGGTTCTCCTCTACCTTTTCTTTGGTCTAATCTTGACCGGTGACAACATGATGTACTCATATGGACTTCTCTACTTGCCTGTCTCAACTTACTCTTTACTATGCGCCACCCAATTGGCCTTCAACGCACTATTTTCGTACTTTCTCAACTCGCAAAAGTTCACTCCTTTTATACTCAACTCTCTTGTCCTCCTCACCACATCAGCTTCCCTTCTTGCTCTCAATGCAGACTCGGAAAACACAAGCGACGTCTCTAAGAGTAAGTATGTCATCGGTTTCTTGTGCACTCTTGGAGCCTCCGCGGCGTACTCGTTGTACCTTTCTCTGGTGCAGCTCTCCTTCCAGAAGATCATAAAACGAGAGACGTTTTGTAGTGTCTTGGATATGCAAATATACCCTTCTTTTCTGGCAACATGTGGATGCATTTTGGGACTTTTCGTTAGTGGGGAATGGAGAAGCTTGGGGAAAGAGATGAAGGAATACCAAGAGGGAAAGGTGTCTTATGTCATGACTTTGGTTTGGACTGCTTTGATGTGGCAGGTTTGCTCGGTCGGCTTGTTGGGATTGGTTTTTGAGGTTTCTTCTCTCTTCTCAAATGTCATTAGTACCTTGGCTTTGCCAGTCATTCCAATTCTTGCTGTGATATTCTTCCATGATAAGATGAATGGGGTGAAAGTGATGGCTATGATTTTGTCAGTCTGGGGATTCCTTTCCTATATCTATCAGCATTATCTCGACGACTTGAAATCTAAGGCGGAGAGAAGCAATAGCAATGAAAATTCTAGGAGTGCAATAGAGGTTTGTTAATGTAAAAGTTAATGAACAAATTTTATAAATTCTCTCTCAAATTTTATAACAAGATTTTCCCAAAGGGAATTTTTAAAATAGCACTGGTTTTGATTTTTTTATATCGCTGTCATGTTAGTAATTATCACAATTAATTATAATAATTGTCGAGTAATAATAAAATTCACTATTATAATTGTTGGTAATTATCAAAGTTAATTATAATAATTATTACGAGTAATGATAGAATGCACTATCACAGTCAACTATTTTTTATGTTGGTTAAATACTGTATTCTTGTCATGGCTTTCCTTTATTCGCTTACTTCAATGTACAAGGGTTTCGCATCATTCAATCAAGTAAAGTTGGTCAGCGGAATAAACCATCGATAAACCTTTGAAAGCTCGTGTGACTTTTAGAAGACCATGTACTGTTTTGCAAAGATGAAACTTGTTTAATAAGAGAACAAATAGAGAACTTACCACTGAACATATACGCCGTTTCTGCACTTACGTGGTTGGTTTCACAAAGTAAAAGCTATAATCTATTGAAACAACACGAAAGATTCTTCTCACAGTTCAAATGATAAATTAAACATTTTCTCTCATAAAAATTTAAATTTTAGTTTAAATTTTCTAATCGAATCCGTTCCTACACTTGTATGTCGAGAAGTTATTTGTCAAAATTGAAGATTTAGGAACCAAAGCAGCAAAGCGTCACAATACTAATCCTCCTCAACTGCAGCCTTTGTGACAATGTGCTTCCTAATTTTCAAAATATAATATTCATTCTCTTGATCTATAAATTTTTTTTATTATTTTTTATTTTTAGGAAAAGCCGATTTTTATTTAATTAACTGAAGCTATATCAGCACTTACAACTAGGATAATCTTTTAACAAAAACAGATCTTCAATAGACGATAGAGAAAACTTTGCTAATGTGTGAGCAGTCATATTACCACAACGAGAAATACGGCTACACGGACCACTATTAACTTCAAGTCTGTTTAGTTTGTTGATTCGAGTTGAGATGTGAGTTTATATGAGAGTTTTTTACTGTAATAAAAAAGTTAGATGTGACTGTTTCTGAGAGTTTTTTACTGTAACAAAACTCAAATTCTAAACTCAAATCGGTGAAATAAATAAGGCATTCACATATTAAAATCCGGATATCATTCAAAATAGAAAAATCAACAGTATTACAATATGAATCATTCATCGCACGCACTGCCATTATTGAATCACTTTAAATGAAGGAAACACGAAGGCTACTATCTTTAGCAAACAGCAAGCCTTCCCTAATATAGCCTAGCATTCTCCAAGAAAGGGAGGAAAACAACATGTGTAGGAGTATTTTTGGTAACTCCATTATGTCTGAAGCTAATTTGACTTTAGAAGGCATATTTTGAAAAGTTTTTAATTGCTAAGGAAAATAGACTAAAGAACCATAAAACTTTTTCTAATATAACAATCACTCCTTTCACTTTCGTTTGTCTGCAGGAAAAGAAGCTAATAAAATAATTATGCGCTGTATAGTTCAACTACCCTCATTTTTAATGTATAATGTGTTATTTTTTTCAAAAATCCTAAGGATAATTGGCACAAATAATTTTTAAACTATTCAGTTGATGACAATCTGATTCTTATTTTTTTAATTTTGGTAAACCAACCCTCAAACTCTCAAATTGTTGGCAATAACTCTCTCGTTTGTTAAATTTTTGACGGAATGACACCATATGAACCTCTTTTTTAGTGAAAATACAAATATGCCCTTAGAACTCACACCTCTTTGTTTTTTCCCTTTCCTTCTACAACTTCTTGAAAACCCATCTCCTTCCATATAACCGTTCCGCTGCCTCCAGATCTGCGTGCACCGGCGCCGCTGCAAGCCCAGCAACCATCGAGCCCAGCCCCAACGCCGCCTCCAAATTGCCAACACCTCTCAGGAGCTCGCCACCCACTAGCGAACAACCGATCCGCCGCAAACTCGGGCCAGTACCACCGGCCAGGGCTGCCCATCCACGGGTCACGGTCGCGTCCTTCTCGGCGCTCGTTCACCACACAATTGCAGTCGCCGCTCTCGAAGTCTTAACATTTATGAGTTTTTTCGGTTGTTCAAATGGTTTCGTATTTTGATTTCTGATGCCCATATTTAGCATTGTGTTCTTTGGTTGATCAATTATTTTGTTTATATGTTTTGGAAACTTGGAACTGGTCTATAAATTGATTGTTTTTTCCTCTTTTTTTTATGAAATGTGATTTGGCTCTTATTCATTTGGGTCTTATAAAAGAGAACCCAGAGAGATAGGGAGTTAGAGAGAGAAAAAGGCTTGCTCTGAATGAAGAGGGAGAATATATATATATATATATATTTTTTTTTTTTTCCCTTTTTGCATCTCTTCGTATTTCCTTCGCTATGTAATCAAACAACAGAGAAAATCATAGGTTTTTTTTTTCTCAGGAAAATATTGTAGTTCTGATGTACCCAATTTTGAAACTAAAAGCCTACAAAAAAGTATATCTGAAGAACAGAGATAGTTGATGCCACTAAATATAAATGGTTTCTTTTTTTTTTTTTTTTTTTTTTTTTTTTTTTTTTTTTTTTTTTTTTAAAAAAAATTTTTTTTTTTTTTTTTTTTTTTTTTTTTTTTTTTTTTTTTTTGCTAATGAAAATATATATGAGTTTGTTTGATTGTTCTGGCTTTGGGGGTTTTCTTTTTCTAATTTTTTTATTGATCTGATAACCAAAGACCATGCCTCCATGCGATCGTCACGGGGACAAGTGTGCTGATCTTTCTCTCTGTTGATTATTATAAATTATTGTTATTTTCCAAAATTATGCTTTGGTTTGCACATAATACATTCCGCCAAAAACTTTAACAGATTTTAACATAAAGAATTAAATTGCCAACAATTTGAGAATTTGAGGGTGCTTTCACCAAAATTAAAAAAATAGGAATGAAATTATTACCAATTTAATATTTAAGGACCATTTACGCTAATTACCTAAATCCTAACAGAGTGAACTTTTCGTTAATATTTCATAGTATGAGAGGAAGGAATGTTATATTTTAAAATTGGCACACATTGCTATAAGGAGTTAAGGCATCATTTTGATAATTAATCTGAAAAAAATTAAGAGAAAATTTTTTGAGGGAGAGATGGAGGGAGTGAGAGGAGTGGAGGGAGAGATGGAGGGAGTGAGAGAGTGGAGGGAGAGCTCCAATTCTAAGATTGGTAATTCGTATTGCCGTATTAGGTGTGTTATTGTCATGTCCCTTAGTTGACACTATAACTTTTGATATGAACCCAACCCATTTAATAATCACGGTCAGTAGACAAAATTCAAACAATACTTTTTAATAAAACAACCTAAAACACATTTACAACCCATCTAGTGTAATCCATTTTTAAGCAAAACTAAATAAATAAAAGAAATTTAAAAAACTAATAACTTAGCAAAATAGTAAACTTAAAACAACAAAACAAATTATTAAAACAATAAACAACAATTAGACACAAGAAAACATGATCAATATTTACATATCTTTATAAACAAGCTATAAATGGGTTCATAATGTGTCATATTTGTGTCAACCTATTTATGATATGTTTAATAAATAGGTTATTATGGGTTAATTTCGTATTAGATGGTCCGCATTATGTTGACCCTTTATCGTTTTTGGTGGGTTTAATATGTTTTGACCCAAACCCATTTAAGGCAAACCTAAACTCTCTAATTTTATGCGAGTTTCGAGTAATATTATCGTGTTGTGACTAAAATTGTCAGCTCTATTCAATCCCACGTTTGGTTGAAAAAGATGAGAGGTGCATGGATGTAGTCTCTCGTGGCCCACCAACTTTAAGCTTTAAAAGACTGTTTTACCCTCCAAAAAAATTATTAACAAATAGTTTAAATGAACGGTATAGTAATTTAATAAATAATTATCATATATTCTTTTAACTCTCTTTTTATCTTATCAAACAGAATAAAGAATTATTATCAATAATTCTCTTTATTCTTTCTACTCTCTGTCTCTATATCTCTCTAACCAAATTAAACCGTACTTGTGATTGTTTTTTTCCTCGTTACTACCAAGTGAACCAACAATAATTCTTCCAAAATTTTCCTTCATTACGAAAATGACCCAAGTCCTTAGAAGAATGTTGGAAAAATTACCACTCCACTAAAAAAAATAAAATAAAAAAATAAAGCCATTAGATTGAGCCCGCCAAAACCGGATTCAAAAACTTTCAAACCGTTTCACATTCTCAAGTTGCAAACAAAAAGCCAAAAAAAAAAAAGAAGAAAGAAAAGGAAAAGCCAAATATAATTGAAAATTGACTCTAGATTCAAAACAAGTCAAGCCAAAAAGACCATAATAATATCATTATATTCGTATCCTCCGACCATATCTATATAAAATAGTCACGTCACGTGGGGCGTCGCATTTCATTCCCCATTTTTCCCACCCAAACAAGTCCCACGCTTTATTCGCCCCCACTCCCACTCCAAAACAGAAGAAAACCGACTCTAATTTATGAACATTATTTTATGAACATTATTTTAATCTAATAAAATAAAATATTCCGAAAATTTTAAATTCATATAAATTATTATTTTATTAAAAAAAAGCAAAAATAGCTTCCGTGCTCATCTTCTTCGTCTTCTACCTCCTCCTCCTGGTCTCTGTCATCGTCGCGTCGGTCGTTTTTGGCCCGAAAACTTCTGTCGTCGGAGTCGAGGACTGCGAAATGGCGACCATGGAGAGCTTAATTGGCCTCGTCAACCGGATTCAGAGGGCCTGTACGGTCCTCGGCGACCATGGCGGCGATTCCGCACTCCCTACTCTTTGGGAGGCTCTTCCTTCTGTCGCCGTCGTTGGCGGTCAGGTACTAATACTCCTACTCAATATTTCTTTACATTATATGTATATATATGTATATGTGTATGTGAAGGTTATGTGTTTGGTTGTTTTATTCAGTAGATTTTGTGTTTTGTGGATGTGAAATGTAGAGTTCTGGTAAGTCGTCGGTCTTGGAAAGCATCGTCGGTCGGGATTTTCTGCCGAGAGGATCAGGTTTGAAATTGTTAGGTTTTAGGTTACTGTTAATTTTTTTTTTTAAGAAAAAAAACGAGAAAGAAATGGAGTGAAAACCGAAAAGAATAGGGGTGTTTTCGATGGGTTTGGAAGGTTTTTTTAAAAACCACTAACTTGAAAATATATATTTGAGCGGTTTGATATTTACAAAAATTAAATTAAATTAAATCACTTAGAGGACGTTTGATTGATGAATTCATAATCATTCTCGATTTACGTGTATTTTTTGTGAGAAAAAATATTGTAGTGAGTTACGAACAATAATTCAAATCATAGCACGAATTCTTGAATCAAACACACTCTAAAAGCTGTTTTGACGATTTAGTTTGGCCAATTTAAGCTTTAAAATTAAAAAATTTTCAATAACTCATAAAATTATAAAATCGTTAATTAATAAAAATAAAAATAAGACTAAAGTTTACAATATAACTTAAAAATAGTAAAGGTCTAATAGTTCACCATTTAAAATTGTAATACAAATCAACAAATATAGGGTAATCTTGACAAATACCTAGTAAAAGTGCATGTGTCAAGATTTTTGCTCTTTACACTTGATTCATAACATTTTTAGTCAAATAATTACATTAACAAAATGATATTTATCAAGAATAAGAGATAAGGGTCTAGACTCATGCACTCTTAAAGGTAAATTCTCTATTTTTTCACAAAAATATGATATGGTGTATTTTCTAAGTGTAGAACCTTTATTATGACCAATAAAAATTAAAATAAATATAAAAACATTTAAAAAATTAAAAAATTATATATGTATATTTTTAGCGGAATATTAGGCGGTTTAAGGAGTCCAAATCACAAATTAAATCGCTCAAAAAAATTAGATTAAAAAACTAATTAAACTGCTTAATAATTTAAAAATAATAATGATTTAATTTGAATTGAGCGGTTTTCACGGTTTGACGGATTTTTTGAACACTCCTGGAAATGGAAAATAATTGTAGTTCAAAGTCAATTTTCAGTCCATGTGAAAAGGAAAGTCAAACTAAAGTCAAACAGCTTTTTTTTAAAGGTATATAATATTGGTAATGATGTTTTCAATTGTTATTAATTTTTATTTTCTTTTTTTTCCGTATCTCTTTTTTCTTTTAATAGTCATTTTCATTACCGAATTATAAAACGAAGATTGAAGAAGCGGGAAATATCAAGAGACAGATTTGAAGCAAAAGGGATGGAAATAGAACCAAAAAAAAAAAAAAGATATACTTAAAATAGCTTTAATTTCTTGTCATTCAATTGAACTTAATAAAGGGGAGTTGTAACTTGTACTTGAATTCTTATTGTTGAAATGAGTTTTCAGGGATTGTCACTAGGAGGCCTTTGGTTTTGCAGCTACACAAGACAGAACAGGGTATTGAAGAGTATGCAGAATTCCTTCACCTACCAAAGAAAAAATTCACAGATTTTGGTATGTTATTTCTTGAACAGGTGCAATGATAAGTGGAATTTCTGTTTTTGTTTTCTGAACATAATTTATGACTTGGCTTGAAACTTTGAAGTTTACCTAATAGTAGCAAATGTGTGTCGTTTGCTCTTCTAGTCATATTTGCTCAAGTTTTTCAATAGAAGTTGACCTTCTCTTTCAGGTGGCTATTACATCACATTTGGATTTTCGAATTTGACTCTCTCCTTTTTAGCAATATAAACTCCATTTAACTGTTCAAATTTATTTTATTCTTTTGTTTGACTAAGTCTGCAAAATTGCTCAATAGTTTGTGACTTGTGAGGTTCTTACATCTTTTGAAATTAGATGTGGTTTTCTTTGCTGGTTTGACGCCTGTTTTCCTTTCACAGCTATGGTTCGGAAGGAAATTCAGGAGGAAACTGACAGAATGACCGGGCGCTCGAAACAGATTTCTCCCATTCCCATTCATCTTAGTATTTACTCCCCAAATGGTAAAGTAGATGTTTCTTTTTTATCAAGCACCTTGTTACTATGTTTGTTTCTCTCCTCCCCTGAAGATGACCACACTGTTTTTTTGTCGTATTTTCAATTTGGTGTATTATAAATGTAGGAATATGGGTAATTACATCGACAGAAAAATTACAAGATGGTGATTTATGTTCTTGGACCGTTATCTATTGGTTGGTAATCGATTTTCTCATGTATGTCACATGAATCATATTCCATTACTAAGAAAATCAAGAAATCTGTATTGCGTATTATATTCACACGTTAATCATTTATATACCTTTTGCACTGTTGTCAAGTTGGTTTTCCTTCAAGTATTAGGATATTTACACATGCCTTCTGTATTCAATTTGTCTAAGCTTTGCCATTGAAGGCAAGGATATAGTTCATTTGCGTTTTCATTGATATTCTTGTGATATATAGTTGAATCATGATGTCAAAACAAGTTCATAACATGGCTATTCTGTGTCGTTAACATGATTTATCACTTTATCTTTTGGCAGTTGTCAATTTAACCTTGATAGATTTGCCCGGCTTAACCAAGGTTGCTGTAGGTATACTTTCTTGTCCTTTTCTTTGTTAATAGGACGTAAATTTTATGTTCACTTTTTTGCAGAGTAATCAAGTTTGAGTTGATTTTGTTATTTGTAGAGGGACAGCCAGAGAGTATTGTTCAGGACATTGAAATTATGGTTCGCGCCTATGTGGAAAAGGTATTAAGGAAGTTCAAAAGTAATATCTTTTACTCTTCCCAAGTTTGATAAGTGTGGCTAATAAGTGCATTGGTCTGTTGGTCCTTTTATCCCATAAAATTGACTTTCAATGATATCTTTATCGTAGTTATGACGACGTCCTTAAATACACAAACGTAATGAACAAGTCATGTCAAATTTGAGAGTTTTCATTTTCAGGATTATGCCACGTTAGACTAGAATGTTACTTATGATATAATGTTAGTATTTCAGTTTTGTTTTGTTTTTTTAATTTATAATGCATGGCTTTTTTTTTTCAATTTGAGGTTGTTTTCTTTGGCGGAAAAAAAAGAAGCAAAATCAAGAACAAAAAAAGAAGTTTGATTGTTTCGTGTAGTATTGTTTTTTGTTTTATGTATGGTCTTTTGGATTTTTGTTGCAGCCAAATTGCGTTATTCTGGCCATAACTCCAGCCAATCAAGATATAGCAACGTCTGATGCTATCAAACTTGCTAGAGAAGTTGATCCAACAGGTACCCTTATGAAAATCTTCCCACTTTTATGGTTTAAATCTACCAGATTTTATGGAGAAACATGAGTTTCCTTCGTCTTCCCCCCGATTTTATTGGGCTTTTTTCTTATTTAGGCGACAGGACGTTTGGGGTGTTGACAAAGCTGGACTTGATGGATAAAGGAACAAATGCTTTGGATGTAAGTATCTTGCCCGCCTTATGGTTCTTTAGAATTCAAACATTTAGCTCAAGGATGGATTTCGTGTTGTTGATGGTGACAAAATTGCTCTCTCACTAATGGTTCCTATGGTATTGTATTGCTAGGTCCTTGAAGGAAGAGCCTACCACCTTCAACACCCTTGGGTTGGAATCGTGAAACCGCTCACAGTCTGATATAAATAAAAATGTAGACATGATTGCTGCTCGGCGTAGGGAGCGAGAGTTTTTTGCCCACAGTCCTGATTATGGACACTTGGCAAGCAAAATGGGGTCGGAATATCTAGCGAAACTTCTTTCAAAGGTTTTTCTTGCTTTGGTTATGTCACTTTTATTTTTCCAAATGCTTTATTATTTTTCTGTAGTTTTTTTTAACACATAGAGCAAGTCTCTTATTAATGTCATATGGTTTCAGCATTTGGAAGCTGTAATTAAGGCTCGTCTTCCAGGAATTCAATCGTTGATCAACAAAAGCATTGATGAAATTGAAACAGAGTTGGACTATCTTGGTAGACCTGTTGCCATTGATGCCGGGGTAGGAACTTTAAATATCACTGGTTCAATAACTTTCGTATCTGAATTTGATTTTGAGATAATTCCCTTTCTTTTTTTTTTTTTCCTTTTTTTTCCTCATGCGCATCAGGCACAGCTATATACAATCCTGGAGTTATGCCGTGCATTTGACCGGATATTTAAGGAGCATTTGGATGGAGGGTAATATTTTCTCATATTTTGATCCTGAGCCTTACAGAAAGAAAAGATTCGGTATTTTCTTGAACGTTTCCTTTGATTGGCATCTGGGTTTAAGTTTTAGAGACTCGTTTGTCATGAAACATCTTAGGCACTTATCGACGGGTGTTATAGGTTACTTAAATCTCACATACTTCCTGTTTGGTCCTTATTCAAAGGCACCGAATTCATAAGAACAACAGTTTGGTCATAATATATAATAACCGGTCTTTTTAGTACATCATGTTTTATGCATTGATGAACTCCCTCTCGTTAGATTCTTATTCTCTCTGGTCTTGTTTGCATCTAGTAATATAGCCATCTATTGTAACTATAAATAAGTATTTAATACTTCTAAATGTTTCTTGTTATATTTTCTTTGCTATCTCAGGCGACCTGGTGGTGATCGGATTTATGGCGTATTTGACCATCAGCTCCCTTCTGCCTTGAGGAAGCTCCCTTTTGATCGTCATCTTTCACTTCAAAATATAAGAAAAGTGGTTTGTGAAGCGGATGGATACCAACCTCATCTAGTTGCACCTGAGCAAGGTTATCGGCGCCTCATTGATAGTGCCCTGAATTATTTTAGAGGCCCAGCTGAAGCGTCGGTTGATGCTGTAAGTGTTGCCGTTCCACTTTCCGTTCTGGGTGATTTTTGCGGGTCTATTAGTGATCATGTCCAAGGCATATCAGAACAAAATGTCCTTTTTGGAGCATGTTTTCTAGACAGGAAGCCGAAGTATATCAATTTTGGATTGTTCTGTTCGAGTATCGTATGCCGTAGAGATAAGAACTTTAGGCAATAGTAGTGCCCTTGAAGAACTTATTTGATTATGGAATCCTTTCTTCATTATCTATATTTCTGGAGCACATAGTTCGTCAGAAGTTACAAAAGCAAATTTAATTCTAAGAATCATCTTTTAAATCCTTTTACTTCTATGGTTACAATAATTTTACATCCGAGCCATTATACTTGGCGTTATATCATTATTGTTCTTTTAATCGGTAGTCTGGCTCTGCAGGTTCACTTCATTCTTAAGGAACTTGTGCGGAGGTCGATTGGAGAAACTCAGGTTCGGAACTTCATATCTAATAAATTGCATTTTCTGACAGCGGTCTAGTAACTAGGGAAATAGACTGATGTTTTGGCATGGAGCAGGAGTTGAAGCGGTTTCCGACACTTCAAGCTGAATTAGCGGCTGCAGCAAATGAAGCGCTGGAGAGGTTCCGTGATGACAGCAAGAAGACAACTTTGCGATTGGTGGACATGGAATCATCGTACCTAACCGTAGATTTCTTCCGGAAACTTCCCCAGGAAGTCGATAAGGGAGGAAACCAAGCTGCTGCCTCATCGGGAGACCGATATTCGGAAGAACACTTCCGTAGGATAGGATCAAATGTTTCTTCCTATGTTGGGATGGTCTCCAAGACACTGAGGAATACAATTCCGAAGTCTGTTGTTCACTGTCAAGTTAGAGAGGCAAAGCGGTCTTTACTAGACCATTTTTACACACAACTGGGCAAGATAGAGGTATCCAACAATTGGTTCTTCACTGTTCTCTTGCTCTTTGAACGAGACAGTTCTGATAAAATAAATGGGATGTGTAAATATTGATTTTGTTACCACCAATGGGTTTGGGTGGTGGTTACGATGCCTTTCTTCTCCTAGGTGCGCCCAGGATTCGGTACTCCACAGCCCCACTTTAAGATCCTTGCTCGGCTAATGTATTGTGTTGAGTGTGTGGTGGCATGGGTGAAAACTGGGCCGATCTTTCGAGTATAATTGAGTGAGGTCCTTTATGTTCCAACAGTGGGTCACAGGATTTTCAAAGTGACAAAGGGGATGGCGGGGTTGATGACATCAATGATCCCCTTTTTATTTTGGAAAAAAAAAAAAATTGATTTGTTCAAATAAGAGCTCTTTCTTATTTGGGGAAGCAACTTTCTCAATAGCTTATTGTTGTTTCTTTTCTAGGGTAAGCAACTAGCTCAACTGTTGGATGAAGATCCGGTCTTGATGGAAAAGAGGCTGCAGTATGCGAAGAGGCTTGAGCTTTACAAGTCTGCTAGGGATGAGATTGACTCAGTATCATGGTCAAGATAAGATGTTTTCTGAATGCAACTGAAAAAAAAAACAAAGAAAAAAAAATATATATGTTGATAGCTGTGGCTTTTGCTTAGGGAAGTGGTGTTTTTCAGCAAGAATTCCTTTTTTTTTTCTTTTGTTTTTTTTTTTTGCTTTAATTTTTGTTAAAAGGCTTTCCTGATATTTCTTTTTTCGGAGTTTAGTTTTTAGTTTTTATTTTTTTGTATTAGAGGTTTGTTGTTACAGTTTTCATATTTGTGTGCATATATATATATATATATATATATATATATTCTAAAATCACATATTATTGTGCTTTTACAGTTTTCAAACGACATGTTTTAGCAGTCAGTTTTACCTTCGGTTAATGGGAGACCTTACTGAATTGACCTGAGAGAACAGGCATGGAAGAAAGTTGAGACGAGATTTGAAAAGAGAGGTCTAATAAGGTGCAGAAATCAATGTTATCCTTTAAAAGAATATTGAAATACGTTTCTTTTTTTGTCTTTTTTTTTTTTTTTTTTTTCTGTCGTATAAAACGTATTTATAATTTATCATTTGAGTTTCATGAATAATTTCGATCACTCAGCTGTAGTAGTGTATTCAAATTTCTTAAAATAGTATTTATTTAGAGTGCTTATCAAATTATGAAGCACATTATTTTGATTAATATGCTATATGATCTATACGTTGCTATTTCAGCCACCATAACTTGATAACTTGTAGGAGAATTATTACATATCTCAGTTAAATGACTACTACAGCGTGAGGACCAAAAGATTCCTCAAAGAATTATTTAAATGAAAGTTCCCCACAGAAGTCTATGATCTTTTTTCCTCCCCAATAAATGGGATTTTAAGCTCCATTTGAAGCCTTACCCTCCTTCCTGTCAAGCTCTTCCAGCGCCTCCCACAATTTTGGATCAGCATAATCTTTTATAAGAAATGCGGGCTTCGCTTGCATCAGCAAATGTTCCGGATTTCTGGTCGCTATACCAACAACTTGCATTCCAGCTGCGACTCCAGCTTTTATCCCCGAGACCGAATCCTGGCAAAACAGGAAAAGAGCAAATATCATGAGAAGTTTGCATAAACTTGAATCACTGAAAGATTTGTGAACTGAGAAGAGGGCAGACCTCAAATATAAAAGTGTGATCCTTAGATGCCTTGAGGATATCCAGAGCCTTCAAGTAGGGATCCGGGTGCGGCTTGGCATGATCACATTCGCTTCCAATAATTACAGCATCGAAAAAATCCGACAGCCCGAGACGCGAGATCATGAGTTCAGCATTTGGCCTTGGAGCGTTTGTAACAGCAGCACGCTTCAGCCCACGATCTTCGACCCATTTCTTCAGTTTATAAAGACCATCCAGAGGCTTCAATTGTTCTGCAGCGAGTCTGGTTGGAAGATGCTACTTAGTATGGAATTTGAAAGAAATTACAGGAAGCGAGGGTGCAGAATTTACCGACGAAACATGGCTTCTTTGTCATCTGTGAACTTTAAACCTCGTTGGAAATCATCAGGGAAGAGAGCCCTGGCAATATCATCATTATGTTTGCCAGCAATATTCTCAATGAAGAAATCCTCATCAATGGGAACTCCTCCGTTGAAACCTATCTGTTAAGTATACCAGATTCCTGTTAATGAAGTATAATTGATGTTTCGCAACACTTGAAATCAACGCAAAAATATCTGATTCTAATATTTTGAGGCAAATTTCATTATTGTTCACAGATTCGAGGTCATAGACGAATTATGAATCTCATGTTACATAACAAAATTGCAACAAAGAACATCGGCAATATGGGGATGGAGATCAATGTAGATCATAGTAGAAAGTTATCAACCAGAATAAGATAAAGCGTTATTGAGTGTAAGCTAGTAAAGCAAATCCTCTTTAAGTTTACCTCTTGAAGCATTTCACGGAAAGCGTAGTGGTGAAGCGGATCTGAATCACATAAAGTTCCATCAACGTCGAATAGTATCCCTTCAAGTGGAGCTAGTCCAGAGAGTGAACTTTTGCTGTTAAAACAGAAGGGGAAAAAAAAAGAAAAAAAAGAGCAATTAGACAGAAGAATTCTAGTGAAGTTATGAACAAAAAGAAATTATTCTGGCCAACCTCAACTCCACAAGTTTTATTGGGAGACAATATGGATTTATAAATTAGGGACAATTATTCTTAAAAGCTCTATATGAGTTTATGAAGAAAGAATTGAGATGTTTTTGTCATAAAGAAGACAAGAGACTAGTCTGCTCCTTAAAATCAATTTCCTCTCTTGTTTTAATACAACTCTTCTAAGTTCTAACAAATTACATTATTTACAGCACAACAGGCATAACTACAAATTTCTACGTTTTTTCCTCTTCTAAATATGTTACATTATTTAAACTAGTCTTCTAACAAATTACATTATTTACAGCACAACTGACAGAATTACCAATTTCGAAAATGTAACATAATTCAGACAAGTCAATAATTACAGACAAAGACCCACTTTTAAAAAGAATAAAATTACAGATATGCCCACTATCGAGGATAACATTGCTTATTCACCCACTAAAATTTTTTCTCTGATGAAGACGTAGCTTCTTCATAAGAATCAGAACGTTGTCCCCATTATCTTACGCATTCTTCTAGAACTTACAGAGAGAATTTCTTTATCATGTGGCTTTCTTTGCAATTTACAGAACAAACAAACGACATAACTACATAATATATATATTTATATATTATTGCATAACAGTATCAAGATGTAGGAGCGTAATTCATCAAATAAAACATATCTTTTAAACACAAAACAGAGCTTCAAAGTTCAAACATTTCTCAACAAAAAGAGGACACGAAAAATATTTAAATCCACAAATATAATTGAAATAAAAAAAACTGGGATATTCTATTATCTGTCTCGGCGATAACATGCAAAAGGACTAAACATAAATAAACGCAAAATATTCGCACGAGGATAGTCAAGTACGATATGAATCCATTCGACGATGACGATTATCAAATTCGAAACCGCATTGCAAAAAAAAAAAAAAAAAAAAAAAAGGCAGTGCATGTTTTTCCGGTTTTCATAACTTAATTTAAGGATAGAAAATAGAGAAATAAGAAGAACCCAGATTAAATATTCAATCAATCTGGGGGGAAAAAAAAGACCAGTTTTACCTGTCCACGGAGTTTTCGCAACATGAAGCTGTCATTGTAATGATGCGTTGTTTCTTTTTGTTTTTTTGGTTTGTTCTGAGGAAATTTTGGTTTCTCAGAAATGGTTAATTAGAGGAGAGAAAGGGGCAGGTTGCGGAAATATGAAGAGGAAAAACGGAGAGAAACGAATCTACCTGGAAGCACCAACTAGATGCCGGGTCCAATTCCTTTTCTGACCATCGTCACTTTCTCACGTGTAGTATTATCAGTAGTTTTTCTTAAAAAAAAAAAAAAAAAAAAAAAAAAAAAAAAAAAAAAAAAAAAAAAAAAACAAAATAAAGGAAAGAAAAAGAAAAAAAAAGATAATTGACACGGCTGCTTCTTTAATTTAGTCTTTATTCTTTTAATTTTAACAAAATAATTTTAAATATCATTAAATTAGTGCAATTAAATCTTTTTATTTAAATCCATTAAATTTATAACAAAATTTAAAATGTGACTATCACGTGCCTCTTTTTTAAATTCAAAAGACAAAAACTACCCTCGAAACTAAGATTTCGGTCCGAAACCCGATTAACCCGCCCTACCTTACCCGAAATCATGGTTTTTATTATTATTTTTTTTTTCAAATTAAAATATCCCCAACCCGCACTGTGCGGGTTGGGAGGCGGGGCGGGCGTCATGTGACCCGATATACCCCGACCCGACCGTGTGAAGATGGAGGGTGTTAAAAAAAATCCCTAAATCCCTAATCACTTTCACTTTCAGTCTTTCATTTCTCAGTTCTCTCTCACTTCTCACTCCCTCGCCGCCGCCTTATTTCTCGCTTCTCAGTTCTCAGTTTTTTTCTCAATTCTCAATCTCCGACACTCTGTTCCTCTTCTTCTTCTCACAATCGTTGTCTATCGCCTGTCCCTCGTCACTTCTTTTTCTTCTGAACATCGCAAAGTAAACGCGTTTGGTTGATGGATTTTGGTCGCATCCACATCCAAATAATCAACAAATATTCTTTCTTTTTTTATTATTAATTATTAATTATCAGAATCTCTGTTATTGTATGGTAATTCAAGACGAACCAGAGAAGAAGAAAAAGCCTTCTGAAGAGGCCAAGTCTCTACGGAGACGCCCATGGCGAGTTTTTCCGGTGGTGCTTCTCCTGCTACACCTTTCTAGTTCACCCCCAGAAGGTGCTTACTTTGCTTTCAATGTGACATTGTTTGATTCTTTTTCTGTCTTTGTTCTTGGGTTTTTATTTGTTACCGTTTTTAGTTGCTGGAAAATTATGGGGAAAGAAATAAGTTTATATATATATATATATATATATATTGGTTTATTGGGATCTTTTGTATGTTCTCTCATCTGGGTCTAGAGAAAAATTGAGATTTTTAGTTTTGGGCTCACAATGGTTAGGAATTTTTTTGGGCCATAAGAGTTGTTGAGCACTGCACTTTGATTTTCTTTGTTTCCCCTGTTTCCACCAAACCGATCAACCTGTAAAATCGAGCCTACCCGAGGTAATCCAAAGGGTTACGAGTTTGTGGGCCAATGAGGATGTTGCGGCCTAAATTTCCCTCATCCGGAGGGCCTAAATTTCAAGCCCAACCTGAGCCTACCTGACCGAGTTACACCCATACTCAAAACCTCACAAAAAAAAAAAAAAAAAAAAAAAAAACCTAAACTACCCAAAACCCCAAAAAAAAAAAAAAAAAAAAACAAAAACACTGAACACAAAATTGAAAAAAGAATAAACAGAGTTGCAATATTCACCAGATCTATAAAAATTTCTAGGTTCACATTGATCTATAAGAAAGATGAGTAGAACCAATTTCAAATTCAAACCCAAAAAACACAGATCACAAAACCCACATAAAGAGAGGTAGATTAAAAAACTATCAAATCCAAGCCATTTTCCATGGGTTCTTCTTCTGCAAAATCCATCACACAATTCTCAAACACCACAAACCAAGAACAATATCACCAAAACCACTCATCAAACCAATCAATTTACCCATCAGAATCTTGAAACTCACTCACCACCAAAATCCAATCCCCGAAAGCCCTATCTCTTTCAACCCCTCGCCCACTACCTCCAAAAAAAATGGCAAACCCACCGGCCACCACATTATTTCTCTCGCCTCCACGGGTCGGTTCCAGCGCCTACTCCGATGTATACCGCGCATGGCAGCTATTCGATGACGCGGTGATGGCGCTGAAGGAGGTCCACGACTACCAGTTGACACCCATATTGGCGGCAAAGAACGATCTTTCTTGCACCTCTCCCTCGAGTTCTGACCTAACCCTGAGCTCCCTCCGCTAGCGGCATGAACTCCAGTAATACGCAGATCGACCGGCGACGACGCGTTGGACGAGGAGCGACGGCCAATAGGCCGGGACGCGCCAGTCCACCAGCCTCGACACTCTCTCACTCTCTGCTTCCTTCTTTCTCCTTCTCTCTCTCTATTTTTTTGAAAAAAAGTTGTAGAAAAGTCTCTCTCGGTTGCATTTTTGAGTTATGGTGACTTGAATTTAGATCTTAAGTTGAATTTGACTTATAACTTAAATTGGAGTTATAATTTGAGTTTGTATTTAGATGTGCATATTTAAATTATAGTTCGAATTAAGAATCTATTTAAGTTTGTGTTTGAGTGGGTCAAAACTTAAATTTATATTTAAATAGTATTATAAGAAAAACTCAATTATGATAGAAAATTTTAATAGGGCATACTCGTATGGTTTTATTTACTTTTTCGTTGTGAATGCATAGAAAAAAAATCATCTCAATAGAAATTAAAACGAAAATGTTAACTTGAGTTTGAGTTAGACTTGTTCGGTTGCATTTTTGAATTATGGTGACTTGAGTGTAAATTTTAAGTTGAAGTTATAACTTGAGTTTATGTTTAGATTTACACATTTGAGTTATGATTTGAATTGAGAATCTATTTGAGTGTGTTAAAACTTAAATTTGTATTTATATATTATTTTAATAAAAACTCAATGGTGATGAAAAATTTTAATAGGGTATATGAGTGGGGTTTTATTTATCTTTTCGTTGTGAGAGTATAGTAAAAAAAAATCATCTCAATCAGAATTAAAATGAAAAAATTATGACGTTTTTAAGAATAGAAAAAATATTATTCATTAACTTGAGCTTGCGGTTAAGAACTTGAATTGAAGGAGAAACTTGAACTCAGATTTTAGCCCCAAACTCAACTTCAAACTCAAATTTTACAAACGAACATGAACTTGAAAAAAGTTGTAACTTGAGTTCAAACTCTTTTTGCGTTTTACTCCAAAAGAACAAGCACTTAGGGGTCGTTCTTTTACATTTTTGAGTTAGGGTGACTTGAGTGATGATCTTGAGTTGAGTTTGAGTTATAACTTGAGTTGAAGTTGTAATTTAAATTTGTGTTTGGATGTGCCCATTTGAGTTATGATTTGAATTGAGAATCTATTTGAGTTTGTGTTTAAGTAGGTCAAAACTTAAATTTGTATTTAGATAGTAATTTAATAAAAACTTAATGATGATAAAAAATTTTAATAGGGTATATGGGTGGGGTTTTATTCGTGTTTTCGTTGTGAATGCATAAAAAATAAAAATCATTTCAATCAGAATTAAAACGAAAAAGTTATGACATTTTTAAGAATAGAAAAAATATTGTTCATTAACTTGAGTTCGAGTTTATGAACTCGAGTTGAAGGGGAAACTTGAACTTGAGTTTAGCCCCAAACTCGAGTTCAAACTCAAATTTTACAAAAAAAACATGAACTTGAATAAAGTTGTAACTCGAGTTTAAACTTTTTATGAGTTTCGTTGCAAAAGAACAACCCCTTAGGAACTTGAGTTGAAAGGGGAACTTGAACTTGGATTTTAGCCCTAAACTTAAGTTAAAACTCGAGCTCAAACTCAAGTTGAAACTCAAATTTTACAAAAGAACATGAACTTGAATAAAGTTGTAACTTAAGTTCAAAATTTTTTTTTGAGTTTTAGTCCAAAAGAACAAGCTTGATTTTTTTTTTTAAAAATGGAGATCGGATTTGATTTTTGTAGAGAGTGCTTATCTTTGTTTTTTTTCATCTGTTTTGTCTTCATCGTTTTCAGTTTTGGGTTTTTTTTCCTACAGATATATTGCTTGGCCTTTTAAAAAAAATTATATTTCAAATATATTGCTCGTGATTTTATGAAAATAACCCTCGTAATTGGGTCACGTGAGGGCTCACACGGATTTTAACGTGAGTAATTTGACGGATTTAGACGAAAAAGACTTAATTGCACCAATTTAAGGACATTGATGACCATTTTGCTAAAATTTTAAAAAATAGGACTAAACTATTACATACTGAAGAGGTTAGGGACCATTAGTGACAATTATCCATATGAAAATTGTTATGGTGGGCCACCAAATAAATAATTAAAATTGTACTTACGAAAGTTATCAAAAATTTCTCTAAAGCTTTTGCTTATTATTCTAAAGGAAACATATTTAGAACACGCCACGTATTTTGTTTAAGTATATTTTTGTCTTTTTATTGTGTAGATGTTTAAAACACCTTCTGTGTTTTAAAAAATCACATTGAAAATACCCTTAAAACCATCAAACTTTTTAAAATACCGTTTTGAATCTATATTAAATGTTATTTTAGATGTAAAAATTTAAAAATATTCAAATAAATATTCCAATTAAATAAATACTTCAATTATTTTGAGATTTTTCATTCTTTAAGATTGATTTTATCTAATATTTTAGTTTAATAATGTTTTAAATTACATTTACTAAAGGTTAAGAAGGGAGGGTGATCATGGTATTCTAAAAAATTTAATTGCTACAGAGGATATTTTGAATCTAATTTTATAAAGTTTTGAGTATTATCTCTTATTTTAAATAATAACAATATTATTATAATTGAAATAATATTATTGTTTTCATTAAGATCGACTATGTTATATCTATTACTATTATTTGTTTTAGACAATGCTGTGAGATTGAAGTAGCAATCTCCCCTAAAGTCCCACCCTACCACTTCGTTACCATTACATCAAACGTTCTTAGACATGTTATTTACGTATAATATGAAAATGAAACTAATCGTTAGATTTATATAAAATTCTTCAATATACCTTTTTATTAGTATTATTATTTTGATGTGATTTTAAGCAAAATAAATTGATACATATATTTTCGATCGGAATAATCTGTCA